GTTAGTTAGTAGTAGTATATATATATATATATATATATATATATATATATATATATATATATATATATTTCCTCGCGAATTTTGATGTAACATAAAGAGACTTATCTCGGAAGTATAGAAGACAACGGGGAACGAATGGAGCTCGTTAATCGATACCACTTTTTGTATATTACGATTGTGTCTAATTGCCATATTCCGGATTTAATTCCTATTGTAACGGAACATGAATATTATAAAAGAGAAATAAAAACCTAAGATCTATAATTATCGCCGTCATTTATCCGTCCGAAAGAAAAGATGTCGATTTTCATTTTATTTATTATTCATTCAGTTATTCATATAGCAAGTTTGCTTTATATTACAAGTTTGGTACATAAATATACATACTGCTTGATTTATTTGCATTTTCGATATTTTTCAACAATTTACCAATAATTTCCTAATACAGTATAATTTATCTAGATCTTAATCATTGCAATAATTTTCTTGGTGTCATCATTGATTACAAGAGCAACAATATAGATCTTTTTTTTTTCTCGATGTGAATATATAAGTTTCTTTGGCGAGTAATTGTTTACATCTGTCGGATACCTTCAGAACACTTTCCTTATAATATTTCCATTCACAAGTATATTCCTCAAAATCTTTCATAAAAGGTAAATTGTATTATTTTTTTAATGTGTAAACTAATCACATTATATATTTTCATGTTACTTGCAATATTGTGCTTACGGATGAAGACGTAAAACTTAACGAGTGCGAAATATTTATTTGAAAATTAGCAAACGATTGAAAAAAAGCAAAAATCGACGAAGAAATAATAAACTTTTAAATAATTTTAATGATAAAGAACTGAATGTAAGCGTATCTCGGGCTAAAGCGTAATAATTAATAGAGTGCGCAATATTATACATGCGCGCGCGCGCGCACTTAAAACTTTACTATAAACAGAGTCACTTTACTATAAACAGAGTCAACAATAAATAATTTTACTATAACGTTGTCTTTTAAGGAAATATATTATCTGATGAATTAGTATTAATAAGGTACGAGAAGAAGAAAGTAATTGATTAGAAGAAAATATTTCATTCTGATCATTATGCCACAAGAGATATTTCAGCATAAAACTGTAATACGAATTTATAAAAGCGACTTGCTATGTGTTATCAGTCTAATAAGTACATGGGCCACCCCATGATTAAGTCATGCTCGCTTGATACAAATAACTTTATGAACTTTATAGGAAAGAGACTACGAACATTCAAATATATAAAAGCGAGAAATATATCTTCGGCGAGAAATAGCCAGTCAAAGTATTAGCAGAAAGATAAAATTAAACTGTCGCGCGCACCTCGTTCTATTTAACCCAATCGATAAGCTATACAAGTTACGGTCTAATACTTCGCAAATATAAAGACTGTACCACTTAAAGGAAACGTTTTAACATTTCATGTTCAAAAAGCATTGTTCTTATTCCAAGTTTAACGAGTTGGAACGATGTATTCTCGATTTATCGATACAATGTTCACTACGACTTTGCTTGCCCAGATTCTTCTTTCACTTGAGGCTGAGGACTGATATTGCTTATTAGAGGCACGTTCTTACCACTCTGTAGGCTAGAATGACTTGATGATCGACTGTGACTTTGACTATTAGCCCCGACTGGCGTTTGCACTAGCGGCTGCGGCGGAGTTCTAGCGCCGGAACCGTTGCTGTTCGTGAAATTAGGTTGTAACTGCATGTGATACTTGTAAATATTTTCTGTACTTTCCACGATACCTGTTTTAAAAAATGTATTATACAAGATATTTAAAACAAATAAGGCAATGAATTACAAAACAATAAAAAAAAAAAACAAATAGGCTAAGAATCGAACAAATGGAAAGACAATTTATCAAAATTAAGTTGTACAAAGAAGTTAATATATATAAACAATACTTATATACACTTATATATAATATATATAATAATACTTATATATATAAACTTTAAATTGTAATAAACTTTAAATTTAATCGTAATAAGCTATCATCCCACTTGCTCGTATTTTGACTTGTTTATAGGATATTTAATTTATCACAATTATTAATCTTAGTAATATTTTCATCTAGGAAAATATAATAACGAGCAAATACTTGAAATTACAATTACCAGCTTGTAAATTTAGACTACGTCCACGAACACCTGTCTCCTTCGAGATAGGACTCCACCAATTGACAAAAGTCCCTACTACAGGAACGTGCCTGAGAATACCCTCTTGCCACAGTTTCTCCGCATTTTCCCTCTCCAAATCCGTTTGCGCCGTCTCGATGCCTCTCTTGACTACTTCAGAGATGGTATCCATCATTTTAGAACTAGCTTCCACTTCCTGACCAACTTGCAAGACTAAGGACAACAGTTCGGCAACATCTGGAAATAATGTGAAGTTCGATGAAAGAGGCTTTTATATGAAATTATAGTGATGCTAAAAACGTTTACTTGCCTGTATCTTGTGTCACCATGCCAAATCTTACGCAAGCTAAACCATCCGCGCCTTCGCCGAGAGAAAATGCGGCATCCGTGCTGCGTAGAGTTTCAACCAACTGTGTATTTAATTTGTTTAGTTCGTCTCTTGCCTGATCAGTCATGACGTGAATCCAGGTAGGTGGAGCATAACGCACACCTCCCAGACCGGCCCAGCCCGGCATTTCCACTAAATGTAAGGAATCATTCTCTGACACCAAACGTATGAACGTGTCTTTGTGTTCCACTGTCGCCAGCAATATTTCCTATTCAATAAAATTAATGAATTTGTAATCGTGTTGCTAATAATCATGATCCTACTTGTGTTTTTTAAACACAATAAGAAAGTTTAGAAAATTCTTCATAAAAAGAAGATTGAATAAATGTCATATTTATTGTTTCGTACATGATAGGACTATAGACCAATATGAAATTAAGATATCCTTACTATTTGTTGCTCAAGACAAGTCACTAAATTATCTATATCTTCGGTCGTGGGTGGCTGATCGGGATTTTCCAATGGACAGATACGAATCGCGACGCCGCACTGTTCTATATCACAAAGTTCTATCTGTATATTGTCAATGTCCCTCTGGAGAATCTGTCCCAACCAGGAGTTCAACTTATCGTAATAAGGCAGCACGCGGTCCGTAGCTTGAAGATCCTTATTCGCAGATACGAATTGGAAAACTAACGCGTTCGCTACTATTTCAAATAACTGTAAATTGTTTACAGGATTCGCTAGATAATCACTTAAGGTGTAAGACTCTGTTTCGCCTCCTGGCGGTTGACTCTGAAAAAAGATAACTTTTATTTAAGAATGAGATCAAAAGAGATATCTTTTTATACTTCTTTTATAGAAACCTACCAGTATTCTAATACAAGAGAACTCTTTAATTTTACTGTACAACTCTTCCACAGCCAAAAAACATCTTTTAAATCTGTTATGTACACCGTCTCGACCTAGAACTTGCAGAACGGCCCACAAAGGCAAAGTCGGCAATCGTCTCGATAGAGAATCTGCCATCAACCCTGAAACTAGCGATAGAGTAGTATCTCTCGGAGTGGGTCTTCCTCCTTTAATGTCTGCTAATCTATATAATGTCTATAATTGAAAAATTAAGAAAAACTCAAAGCATTGATCAATCAGTGGTATATATAAAAAAATATTAAATATCAAGATACTTAATTCTCAGGAATTCATGTCGAGTTATATTAATCAAATTTTAAACTTTGTATTTTAAAACATTTTATTGTTGAAAATTTGATTGTGATAAAAAAAGACTGTTGTTTGTGATTTAAAACATATTTATTTTGAGTGATCTCATTAAATTCTTTAAAAACTTTAAATTTGGATGATATTGACTCGAGATGAGTGTGAATATAACTAAAGTCCAAGTGAATTCTGAGGGGAAAAGAAAACAATTATACAAATATAAACGTATAAAATATAAACGCTTATACAAATATAAACGTATAAACGCATAAGTGTGAGATTGAGATGTTTTAGGACTCTTTAAAGTATTGTAATATTCAACTATTAATGATTATTACTGTTGTTACTGTTATTATTAACATTATAGTTATTTAAATTAACATTAAATTTAAAAGAATCATAAAAGGATACGACCACCGGCAGCGATGGTATACCAAGCCACGTTCCGAGCGGTAATGTAATGCTATCCGCTATTTTTGACGGCTGCAACACAAAAAGATTTTTATAAAAAAATTTTCAAAAATATTTGACGACGTTGAAAATCCTCAATCGTTTTTACTAGTGATGAATTATGTAAATGTTTACCAAATCTTTTGCTGAATTGTTCAATGCAAGCGCAGCTAGCGAATGCCCTCTGAGATGTAGCCAGACATTGTATTTGTCGCATATTGCTCGTAATCGCGTGATGTTATCGCAATGGCCTGTCAACACTGAACCAGCTTCGGCTAGAACTAGTAACGGCGTTACATTGTTCGACTGCGTGTCTTCCGCTAAGCGTCGTTCCAGCGCTGAGACATCCATAGTATGCCTCGAGCCAAACATAGTGTTATGAGGGATCGGTCTTATGCAATGAAGCGGCAAGGAGAGCTGCAAGAGCACAATGAATCTTTTATGTATTATATAAATTTCAAGTGATTGTCAGTTCTTTTCCTTAGATCGTGTTTTTGCCACAAATAAGAGAGTATATCGAGATTATCTATAAATTTTCTTTTTTGTCTTATGTCTTATATACAATGTCCAAACTTTTAAATTGAACAAGATTCATAATGTACTCGGCTCTAACATTCGGAATGAAGGATCATATCACCTGTCTGCACAAATGCTGAACGACACCCATGGGAGCAGCGACAGAACTGTAAATCAGGGGAGGTTGAGACACGAATGCGGTGAAACCCTCTTCCATGTATCGCGGATATTTTCGATGCAAGGCGAGTCGTGTCACCCTGACCAACCCCTCGAGGTGGTCCTCGTGAAAAGAGGACGCACAATCGACGAAGCGGAAGATGTGGCTGAGCCATCTCGTCGTGTCGGCTGCGAGACGACCCGCGAGTTTCTGCGCGTGTGACTTCGGTAACGCTACAGCGTAAGCCGAAACGGTGTGTGTGATTAAGGCCAATTTTGCTGCCTCGGTTAGAGCTGGCAGAGCGGTGATCTGACTGATCGGTGAATCAGTGGATCCTACCTCGACTGGTTGTGGTGCGTCTTCGTGAATCACCAAATCCTAAACAGAAATCTTTGATAGAACCAGCCATATTTATCTTTTCTTAATAATTTTATATACTGATTGTTATTAACTATACATTTTATCTTTTCACAATTATACGTAGAAAAAATAAATTAATATTTATTTATTCGGAAAATATTTTATAATATTAATTTATCTCATCTAATATACAAATACAATTAGTGTCTAAAGAAATGGAAAATAATGCAGTATGTATTAAATATAATTTCTTTTTATTAATATTCAATTTTTTCTTTAAGTGTTTATCAACTTTTTTTATTTAACTTATTAAAATATTGATAAACATTTTAATAAGTAATATTAATAAAAAGAAGTTATATTCTTTTTAAGACTTATAAAACATAATATAGAATATTTTATTTATATTTCTATTCAAAGAATTATACTTATGCCTAATAGTTTATGTTTGTATATAATATAATTTTTTAATTTTTAATATTAACTCTCTATTATGTCATGTAACTTTAAAGTTATTTAAAGTTATTTCATAGTTATATAGTCATTTCATTTTTATAATTTAGATAATATTTTGCCATTATATCATTCTTGATCAAGCAGTTTGATTTGATAATAAAAAGAAGTTAAGTATATCAGAAGTCTGATTTTTATAATAAAATATTCAAAAATTCGAAATTATTAGTTTATATTCCATAGTCAATGTTTATGTTAATAATACATCACATATATGTATATTTTTTTCAAGCATAAAAAAATTAAATTATAAAGGATTGAATATTTTTACATTAATGTTAATTTTAAAACTTATTATCTTTTCATATTGTAATTCAATTTATAACAATTTATATTACATTGTCTATTTGAAAAAAGTTTATGAAACGTTTTAAACACAATCAAATGTAAACGTAATGTTTGAATCTATGGCATAATTGTTTCTATTTTTAGATATAATCAAGAAAATATTTATTTCGATTCAAAATCAAAGTATCCTTTTAACTCTGAACCTAAATAATTATAATTATAATAATCGAAAATCGGAAAAACTTTGAAGTGTAAAAAATAATATAAACAAATCTATCTATTTTTGAAATTACAGAATATAGAATCAAGATCGGAAGAAAAAAAAACGAAAAGACGCAATAACACGAACATTGACCTCTTTGCCACGCAGGAATCACACAGACAGGTTTTTAAATATGAGATTCAGAAATTTAAATACATTACGCCGTGTTACTTCGCAAGCGTATACGTTATGTATGTCATGCAACAACGACAGAAACGCGGCTCCCACGTGACATATGTAATTATCGTCGGCGCCGCGCTATCGGCCGTGGCCAACGAGCGGCGCGTAATCGGCACGAGCGCGGGCCAATCAGCGCGCGCGCGCGCGCTCGACTAAATTTCCGCTGGCCGAATGCAGGCGCGTAAAACGCGCCTCCTACCACCACCGTCACCACTACCATCACACCTGTATCAACGCTAATATTTCCTCCGGTTTCTTCGGCTGTGTCAGGAATCCTGAGGGGTTGTTCCACGTGGTGCCACCGCCGTCGGCGGCCTGCTCCACCGCCTGCTCGAGCCGGGCGATCACTTGGGACGCCTGAAACTGCAACGCGCCCACCTCGCCCGTCGTCGTGGTCGGTGAGCCACCGCCGCCGCCGCCGCCGCCGCCGCCACCGTCGCCACCGCCACCATCGCCACCGGTGCCACCGACCTGTCAAAATCGAAGAAATACCCGCTGGATTAACCTTACGGCCGTCGTCGTCGCGCGACACGACTTGCCGCGCGATCGCGATCACCTACGTGATCGCGGACCGTCGCGATCTCCCGAGTTCGTTAATCGACGCACGGCTACGCACCTCCGCTATTGTCCGCGCTATACTTTCCATCGTCGCGTTATCGTTTGTGTCAGCCTCCTCGGCCATCGTGGCAGTAGTCGTGGCCGGCAGTAGCGTCGCGTCGCGTCGCCGACGTCAACTCGCTTCGGGCGACGATCGATTGGGCCCGCGACGATGATCTGTAATAAAATTCTTTTCCTGACACTCTGAATGGAGTTGAAACATGTCTGGAGAACGGACAAGACTGTCTGAAATTTTCAGAGGCCGAAATCGAATGAAAGTCACTGGGTCGAAAAAGAACGTGGTCCGATGAAGGCGTGAGGCGACACTTGCTTTATCGATATGGCCGCTGCAGCGCCATTCGTTCAATTCGCAAATACTTTAGAATTATTCTGATTGTATTTCTCTCGTCTCGCGGAAAGAGTAAACAAAAGGCTCTTTTGGATATTCGCGCGCTCGGCGTGTAAATTTTATTTTAAATTTTTAGATTTGTTTATTAAATGCGTATTAGTTTATTAAGCATTTATTATATATTTAACACATTATTATTATTATTTGTAGGAATGTCTTATCTCTCTCATTACTATCATGTAAATTTTTTCTCGCTTAGTCGTTTACTTATCTATTAGCGGACGTTTGCTGTGATAAAATATCTTAAAGTAATAAAGATTGATAACGTGATATATTTAATATATAGATTTAATAAAAAGTAATCAATTGAAAACAAATTTTAATATAAACAGGATTTTAAAATTATTATATATAGGCATATAAAACGAACATGTTTCTCTTATTTTTATCAAGTTTTAAAAAATAATAATATATTCATAAACAATTTATATGTATAATAAAACTCATAATCATATCATAAATATTTTTATATGATTTAATTCGTTGAATAATTAGACTTTCACAACGGTCAAACATGTTATAATAAAAATATAACACAGTTTTTAGCAGTTTTTATAAGTATATGTACAGCATACATCAAAACAAAGTATATATAAAAAAGTATATATAAAAATTACATCGTGTTCTATTTTTTCTATATATGTTATGTAAAAGATGTATTTTAAATGATTTGGAGATTATTTAATTTTTGAATTAACTTTGATTTTTGAGATTTTAGAGAGAAATAGCATATAACACTAAACAGAAACTAAATAACACTAAATAGGAATTAAATAGTATATTTACATTTTGTTCCAAAATTGTTAATTTGATATATGTAATTGATTATTTTTATTTCATATATATTTAAATTATTCAATAGTAATTTAATCTTTTCTTACGGTTAGTGCCAATTCTTTTTTTCATCATGAATTTTAGATGGTATTTACAATTCCTAAAAATTTTTTTCCATCTATTGGAAAAAAATGTTACAAATATTTTCTTTCATGAAAATGTTGAAAATCATATCATTTTGACTACATACTTGAATTTCTTTATAGAAATATATATTCTTTTCAAATTTCAATAATTTCATTACTATTGTATAGCTAATATAATTTTAAGTCAAAGAGAGAAAAAATTGTTGATGTAAATGTAAATTTTTATTATAATATTATACATAATAATATGTGCATTTACGTACAAGTTAGATAATTTCGATTGTAGCGCCGACTTTTGTAAGAACATTTCGCAATTGCTCTGCTTCTTCTTTAGGTATATCCGTCTTTACTATTGCAGGTGCGCTTTCAACGAATTTTTTCGTCCTATTTTAATATAAGATTTTCAAATTAATATTTTTCAAATTAATGCTCTATATATATATATATTTCATATTTAAAAAGATTATAAATTAATACCTGGACAAGATTTGTGTTCGGTAACAAGTTCTTCAACTCTTTGATTAAAGCTACCTTCTGTTTCTCATCAAACGCTGTCAATTTAACAGTGAATTCTGTTTGTACTTTCTTTTGTATTTGTTCCTCTTCCTCCTGATAATAATAACATTAAAATTGTTTGTTAAATTGTATATTGACAGATTTGATACATGGATAAGAAACGAAGAAAGATAAACTTAATTATATCGTTTATTATTTGTCTTTCAATTTAATTAAGTGCAATAATAACCTGTTCCTTGTTCTTAAAAATTACATTCTAAAAAAAGAACGCTTTCGTAATGTGTATGTATTATTACAACAATTATTACCATTTGAGGTGCGGCAACAAATCCCCCAACAGGCATAACAGGTGCATCTGGCAGATTTAGTCGTTTTTTTAATAGGTCACTAAGCTGTGCCACTTCTATCAAATTGAGAGCAGTGATATCATTGGCTATTTTGTCGATTTTTGGGTTCACTGGCTGGTCGATTCCAGTTGGGGGAGGTAGAGATGCTACTGATGCAGCCTCTGTCACTGCTGCTGTGCTGGATTCTGTGTGTCGGACAACACTAATGCAAACAGATAATGTTTAGCATGATAAAAAGCATTATTAGACTCCTAAATAAATTCTTATAACTATCAAATAAAACCTGTACTTGGAGAATAATTCAAGAGTATAGATATTATCGACTATCTCAATTATTATTTAATATAAATATTTTAGGAGTTAACTTATAAATTAAATTTATAATTTATTATCGTACTGATGTCTTGTAAATAAAAATATATATTTATACAATGATAATATCATATACATCGATAGGTACATATATTTTTTTCTCAAGTAACAATAAAGTGCAGTTTTAAATAAAAGATAAATACTATTCTGTTTTAAATATATGCATTTATAGAATATTAAGGGCTGTATTTCACGTAACACTCACAATGCTCTCAGAATCACTGTTTAAATGTTAAACAAGAACAAATGATGATTATATATATTACATTGTTAAATAGAATGCAACCAAGATAATAATAAAGCATAAAATTAATAATAGATTGCGAATTAAATTTTGACAGTCATGTCAGCTCTCAGTTAATATTGTCGATCTTCAATACTAGAAGTACTAAACAATCATTTCTGATCATTCTTATATTTATAAATTAATATCTATTTTAGTCATTCAAAATCATATTAAAAATATAACTTTTTAATTTTCTAATTTTTCATCGATTCTAATAATAAATAATAAATGAAGCAAATACAAATTTTAGAATCCTATCTTTCATACCAGAAAAAAATATTAAATATCAAAAATTAAAAAATTAAATTAATTAAAAAAATGGGAAAAGGAGGAGTTAAAAATAAGTACTTGGTACTCTAATGTTAGAGACAACTTTGATTAACGTTCATTCCTACCATATAAATTAACTTCAATCTGATTTAACTTTTTCTTATTTTTAATTCCATTAATTAAAAGGATACAGAGTAAAATAAACCAACATTAAATTAATAGACATTGATAGAAGCTGGCATAAATTCCAATTAACTTAATAAATAATTAAGTTATCAAATAGTACTTGTAGTATTTTGTCAATGTGTACATTTTTTTATCACATAGAAAGAATGACTGAATAAGGACAAATTATGTAATTAGAAAAATTGTATACATGATCCTGTCGACTCAATTAAATGCTGATTAAATTAATAAGTTAAGGAGCTTGGTCAAATAAATCTAACCGTGTCGAAGCAAATGATCAAAGTGTTTAGGTTATGTAACCTGCTCATGTTCGCGACGAAATTAATTTTACCATTTGTGAAATTGACGAAATTGAGGAAGGCGTTGTCGAGACATCAGACGAGCCGTGTTAATCATCTTGAACTGATTGCAAACGCGTTTTCGCAAAAATATGAAATAAAATCAATCCGATCCGATAATCCGGCGCGAATGACCCAAATCTAAGCTGATTCGTCTAGGGATATGCTATTAGTTCTGAAAGAACTAGAGATGCGACTATTTTTTTCGTCCAAGATGTTACTAGATTTTAAAGCAACGAACATAGAGAGAACATTAGTGATAACATTAGAAAACATTAGAGAGAATATCAGTAATAAATAACAGATTAGAAAAGCGACTATCATATATCTATGTCATCTATGGTTGATTTTTTATGGTTGATTTTTGCAAAATATTCAAAATTAGTACATAGGTACATAGATGTTTTAAAAATATTTTTGGAAGACATTTTGCAGACGTCACTTAGATATCTTTTAAACATTTTTCAGATGTTTTTTGTTAAAAATCTTTAAGTTATCTTTAAGTGTTCCAACCCAGCAAACCAGTATATAATTTAGAAAGCACAATATAAAAAGAACAATATTTTTATGTATTTATATTGCATCATTGCAATGCAGAGATTAGTTATTCTGTAAACAAAAATTTAATTTTGTTTACGCCATCGTTCATTTCATTTGTATTCTTAATAAAAATTCAATTTTATTAAGAATATTTATAGAATAATAATCTTTGTCACCGCAATAAAACTTTATATAAATTCTCTTATAATATTTAAGGCTTATATAAAAGAAGTAAGATTTTTGCTATTATTTCTATTAAAGTACATTTTTATATTTAAACAATTTTTAATCCAGGTTCTAAATCACCGCAAAATTTTTTATATTTTATATTTTGCATTCAAGAATAATTTATAATTTTTTCATTGTAAATAAAAATAGACGTAATATATTCTTAAAAAGATATTAAAAATATTTATATTTTTGTTTTAAATAATCTACGATAACTAAATTTATTATTGATAATTGTTTTAATTGAACTTGAATACTTTCATAAATATGAACGTAGATTCAAGCAGCGTAACCTCGTCTGTTTTCTCGTTGATAAAATCGAATTACAAAGGGAAGCCTGTCTGTTTCAGCTACTTAACACCTGTAAATGATTTCTAAAACACATGATAACGCATTGCGGATCTCGTTTTGCTCGGTTCATCACCAATAAATTGTGTTATGCCGAGATTGATCCTCTCGGATGTTTGGATTCTGACGCTTCTCTTCGGTCTCGCCGTGGCAGAAAATAAAACGTATCCAGGTATTTATCATTATAGCTATCAGACCTCTCAGACTTCTTTATCCTTCCTACACTTTTGCAAAGCTCGAACGAAGGCTATAAATGTAACGCCTATCAGATAAATGAACCTTTCAGAAACCAATCTGATCAATTACACTTTTTATAAATTCTTTTTATTTTAATATATGATTAGTCTGTACTTGGTAGATTTTATCTATTTTTTATTTCATGAAGTTGATCAACTTGACTTCTGAGAGGCTCAAGCAATAAAAATAACGATAATAATTCCCTAGATAATCTTGACAAAAACATACTCAATTCCGCATTTTTTCAGAAAGAAACATTCCCTTCTTGAATCCTCGAGAGAAAAGATTAACACTCGATACCACCGAAAGCTTTTGGAAGCAAAGACAATTTTGTAAAAACGACTCTGTCAGAACTGCTGGATCAGGATCGCCGAATGAAATATTGCGATTCGAAGACAATCAAGCAGCTAAAGCTGTGAACGTAGAAGGAGACTATAAAAATACCAACGAAAAAACTTTGATGGATTACAATGGTCCACTTATAATGGAAGCTCTCGATGACACGAGTGAGCAAGATCTTCCAAATCACATTCGTGTCAAGAGAAACGAACCAATCCTTCGTCAATCAAGCTTTGTGAATTTGCTTGACTCGTTTCCACGAAATTCCTGGCATGAGATCAATGGTACAAGTGCATTCAGAGATTCAACATTCAAAGGATCGTTTTTGGATCGATTTGATATCCTTAAGACTCCTTATGGAATCATCGTAGATAATGTCACCTCGCACTCGCGACATAAGAGAGGAGTCCTGTCTAAAAATCACAAGAAACGCGTGAAAGGAAACGTCAGACATGCAAAGCATCGTGTTGACATCAAGAACCAAAGAAAAAAGCATGGTGTATCGAAGTTTCTCCATCGGCCTGTTACAAAAAAGACAAATAGTCCGAGTTCGAGTATGTTTTCATGATTTTTTTTATCTTGAATATCTCGGAAGTCACATTCATATTTTATTAAACATAATTATTCGATTTTATAAATTTTTGCCAATTTAAATAAGAATAAATTGAATAAAACTTAGACCAACTTAGATCAACATTAATTAGAAAAAGATTTGTCGTTATTCCTTTAGAATATATATTATCTAATTATTTTTTAACTTATTATTAACTTATTTTTTAACTTATTAAAGTTAAAACTAAAAAAATTATTTTTAGAATAGATTTAATTTTTTAGGAGAATAGTGTTTATAATAATTATGATAAACTATAATGGTAACTATAAAAGTATAACTTAGATGAATGAATTTATAATTAAACAAAAAAGATAAACATCTTTACAAGGAAAATATCTAAAATTCGAGAAAAACTATGTTAATGTTATAAATAATTAATGTTATAGATAATCAATATCATATTTAATAAAGTATTAAGTGCTACATAAATGCTACATAAATCGGAGTATTTAGTTTCTATTTATTTATTTGTAGCAAAAAGAAGCAAGAATATTCGAGAAATCAGGATGTCTAAACAAATCGACGAATCACGAGTAAAATCCAGGATAGAGAAAAGAGAATCTGAAAATAACAATTTAAACACTAATATTCTTAATAAAATTAATACTGCCGACCACGAGAAAACAAGAACCTTAATTAATCAGAGAGCATCATTAAGTAATGATAAAAGTCTCGAGCAACAACGAAAAGAAGATTCCGTTATGTTACCTCTTGTGCATACTGGAAAAGCAGAATTACGTGTTCGCATAGAAAAAATTCCCACGAATGAATCGTCATTTGTCAGTTCCAATACTTGGATGGATCGTTCTGCCGGGACCAGTCCTTGTTCGATTATATTACCGACGATTAAATATAAAATGAACGATGAAATCGTCGATATCAATGTCACAAATCTTGAACTCGTCCCGAATCTCAATTCCATTGGAAGAAAAGCAGCTAATAATTTAACAGTAAAGATTAATCTGAAAAAGCTAGATCGCGGAAACAATGCATCTATCGATGAAACAAACAATTCTGAAGATATACCGTTATACAATGCGGAATCTCATCTGACATCCAATGCGCTAAGAATCGAGAACGACCAAGATGCGGAAAATGAAAAATACGATCGCACGAATGAGATAGCTGTGGGATCTTTGGACGAGGACGCAAAGTCGCGCGCAAAGAGAAACCAGGAGATTACATCTAAGCGCTATCTTCAAAATGATAAGAACGCGAAAGGATCGGAACATTTCGAAGTCGGACAGGAAACATTGATCGGTGATATGAAACGTGAGAAGAAGAGACATAAAAGGATCCGCGGTAATCGTGCCGTGAGATCGGTCGAAGAAATTAAGGAGCTTGCTGAAAAGCTAATCGTCAAGGTAAAAACTATTATTTCTCGCAAAACTTACATCAGAATTTACTGTATACTATATCGTTCGATTCCAGATAAATGAATTACAAGTTTACGTGAGCAATCATAATGAAACCTTGCGGACGAGGGATTCTTGCTTCGATAAAAACGCGGATCGCGCGGTCGAAAAGGAGCCAAAGATTTCTCTGAAAAAAGACGTTCTGAGGTCTACGTCCAAGATTGCCGAAAAGCGTATCGCGAAGCAGGCAGCCTTAGCGAGTAAAAGAGCATCCCAAATACGTTCTGGTGGTTCGAGGTTCGCGCGAGGAGAGTCTCGAACGAGGAGGAGATTGCGTCGCAAATGGGGCAGGTGGATGGATTGGAGCAGCTGTAGCGTCACCTGCGGCAAAGGTCGACAGATCAGGTGGCGGCATTGCCTGTACGATTGCGACGCGGAAACCGAGATGGAAGAGAAAGCATGCCAATTGCCAGCCTGTCCCCCAAGTAAGTTCCTCGGAATATTCTGAGAGACTGTTCCTTCAAACGATCGAAGATTGAATATTCTACAGAATACCAACGACTTAGACGATACTGTAATTATTAAAAAAATCATCGTATAGTAACAAGTTGATACCTATAATTTTTCGATTGTTCGAAACGTATAGATTAGCATCACTTGTTGATGCTGAAACCGTTGATAAAGCTACGTTTCGTAAACGAGAATCTCGAATTTGCTTCTTGAGAAGGAAAGTTCAAGTATCAAATTCTTTAATATCATTTGATCTTGTTTTTTTTCTGTAATAGGTTTCTATATAAACATTTTTTATAACTTCACGTGCATATGTTTTATTATGTAGGAATTTTGAGTCATAAAAATGAAATTGGTGATTGGTGGTGATTCATCCGGGGAAATAATTTGTAAAATTTTTGTTAAAATTGTTGATATTATCTTAAAATTTGCACGTCACAAATCGTCACAAATCGCCGTATGAATTTTGTTTGCAATATGTGAATGAAATTGTTTATAGCTTCCTGAACCTTCCTTACATATCAACTTATATGTAATAGGATTTTATTTTGCATGATTGTGTAACAAATCATTTGATGTATATTTCTCATCGTCTCATTATCAAATACATAATATATTATACAAGATTTTAAACAATATCCCCTTCTTCGCCTCAGAATTCACAATTAACGAGGGCGTTCATTGCTCAAAGAATAAATCTCTCGCAGCTCAATCATTGTATTCATTGTTACATACAAAGTTACATGAGATACGATTGTTCGCCTCTTACCAATAATTGTTACAGAAAAAATTTTTTTAACGAGCATATACTTTCCGTGCAAATAGATACGAGTTTATACAATGTTTCCTTCTCCTGATCAAATGACGTAAGACTTTGCTTTATTAGCAATACTCGCATACTTTTGTATATTATAAAATCTGATATCGTACAATATTTATAAAGTTTCCTACAATAAATTTTTTTGTTTCATTTCCTGTGATACTGATTTAAAAAATATTAATAAAATTCCTTCAATATTAATAAAATTCAATACATTTATCTCGTTAGTTTAGGTATAATGCAAAAATTGAAATGTATCATAAGCAATGTATAATTCTCATTTCATCAAATTAGATGACATAGTAGTACTATCTAGGCAATTATTTTAAAAGATATTCAACAAATGCAAATATATCATGCTTACGGCAAATTTTATTACAATTGGAACATTATTATGTTGTTCGTGTAAGTATTTAATTATCAACAATTTAACACTTTTTTCTCCTTCCTGGATACTTATATAAAATATCCATCAAGAACACTTTTAAATGCAAGATAAAAAAAAGGACATGTGATAATAAAACGCAGTTATTAATAAAGATTGCAATTCAGCGTGTAAATATAATTGATAACTTTTTTTATCGAACATAATTTTAGATATGTCAAATATTTTTCGACACGTTTATTGACAAACGATCTATAAAATATTCTCATATGCATGGCACATTCTTAAATGCTGTTTATTTAAAATGCGCCTTATCAGTGTCTAATTTTGATGTTATGCTGCGTTTCTCTCCCTTTCTCTTTCTTAGCTAAGTGCACAATAAAAAATGCTACAAAATAACGATACACGATATAGTGCCAAAAACTTGTACGATCGAACATTCATGAAATGAATTAAGCGAATGAGAAAGATCATTAGTCAATGTAACGCCTTCAACTATTTAATATTCGATTCTTATTCGGGAGAACAGCGTCACATATATAAATTGATCACAATGATAAAACGCACCTATTCTTCGCGCGCATGTATTCATGCATACACACAAATGCTTTTACACTCATGCATCGTTACGTAATCGCACGGTATGAGACCATTTGATACTTACAATTCTGTCCTAGATTAAAAGGACGCAAATACTCATCAGTCAATGTAAATTATAATCTTATCTATCACTCGACTACCTAAATCGTGAACGCTATTATTTAACTTTGAGCTTTGTTTCAACATCATCGATCTATCTGCAATTGCAACTAGATCTGATACATGACACTGACATGTATGTCAGATCGCGGTCAAAGCTTGATGTTCACAATTAGTTGCACACTTTTGGCTTATCATTTACAAGAACTAGTCACTCGTGTGGAAGAACCAAGGCGCATCTTGTGATATTGTATATGTATATATAAAAAGTTCATTTTCTTTTCATATATAAAACCGTGGTGACTCTGTCATGATCCATGAGATCAGAATACATCACTATTAAAATAATATATTTCTTGTTTGTTCAACTTGATTGTTCTCATCGGAAGAACAATAAGCCAATATGTCTATCTGCTGCTCCTCACCTCCAGCCAACACTCGCACATCTCGATCCACGTCAACGCGCATTTTTGTGAGTATTCTTTCCACTTCTTCTATCGCTTCCATGCCCAAGTTGTCGACTAAAATTACAAGATACAAGATTAATATACAATGCATTGAATCAACGCGATATATTACATAATATGATAATAATATAGTACTTACAACCCATCGCAATTACGTCCGTCGCTATAGTTCTCGCTACAGCTAATCTTACATTAGGTACTCTGTCGCATGACAATTTTATCAAACATGGTAACATTTCTTTAGAAAATTTAACTCCTGTGATCGCGTGGTTGCGGATCAGATGAGCACACACGAGCGCATAAGTTTGTCGGTGTATCCACTTTTTAGCATTTAAAACTAGAGTCTCTCGAAGCTCGTGAATAAGAGACATGACCAGAGCATCTTCGGTGGATAAATAGCACATGATTCGCGTAATCTGAAGAAATTTAAATCTAAATTAATAGATGCAACAATTACAAAGTATAATATACACGAATGATCCAAGTATCTTACCAATTCAAGTGCGATGGTTCTAACAGCGGCAACCTTATCTACAAGCAATTGGAAAGATAAAGGCGCGATACTTTGGGCTACATCGCTCGTACTAAATAGGCTCACAATCTCAAGTAATTGCGTGGCCAATTCCTCCCTGAACCTCCAATTCCATTCGTTATCCGTGGCGAGAAAATCACTTAGCCTCGGCAAATATTGGCAGCGATCGATGGGTTTGAGTATTTTCAGAAAGGTCGCGAGGTGCTTGAGCACACCTATTCTGACTTCGTCTAGATCCTTAATAAAACCGTCATAGATCGGCACTAAGTCAGTGGCAGTGAGTTCTTCGCCTAAAATCATGGCAATTTCGTGAATGCTGGACGCCAGTGTACGCCTGACTTTCCAATGTTTCGCGCTCGACAATGACTGGTAAGCCTTCTTTAAGCAGTGCCAGTTCTCTTTGCCCAGTGTGAGCGCGACTGCGGGGAAACTGAAGGCACAATGATGCGGGATCTCGGCACCCATGTCCACGCATTGCTCCGGATCGGCCATTGATACATAATAATTTATTAATTCCTGAGGTACGATCTCTTGACTGTTATTCTTTACATCGAAATTCTTATAAGATTCATCACTTTTATCCATGGAGTCCATATCATATATATAAAATTTTCTCTCTCTATCTTTATCTTTTATCTTCTCTAAAATTTTCTCTAGAGTACACTTTGGGGTACAGCTTGAAGTGTCATCCAATGAATCTAATCTCGGAAAACTGTTCTCATCGTCATCATCGTCTTCTTCTTCTTCTTCCTTTGGTTCACTGAATTTATTTGATTGTTCATCGATATTGGGATCATCCTCCACACTTAAATTTATGATAGGAATCAGGATATCGGAAGAGCAACTTGAGCTGTTTTCTTCGCTCGTAGAATCTTCTGTTGTTCCTGCCTTCTGGACATTATTACGATTCATCGCCGATTGCCTTGCGGCATGAATAAGTTCATCATCCAACGGTACATCTGGAGGTATGTAATAATATAAAAATGGATTGTATTTCTCAGATTCAGTCGCCTCTTTTTTAAGATAATTTTTTATAATTGAATAATCTTTTTGACGCAAGGCCTGAAAAAATTAAAGATATATTGATTATATATTTAAATAATATAGATTCATAATAATTTATATTATAATAAAATATTATAATATTATATTATAATAAAATAAACTATATATATTTTTAGAATAAATTTTTATAAGACTTGATAAATTTAAAATAAAAGATATATATCAATCCTTGTTTATTCTGTATAAAACAAACTTTAATAAATGTTATCTATTGTTATTACACGTCTAATAAATGTTATATATTGTTATTATACGTACATATGGCGAAAAATCCGTTTTCTGGCAATCATCTTCTTCCGAAGAATTCGATAATTTATCATGTCTCAAATTCATCACAGGCAGATAAAAAGGGCTTTTGGTATTATCATCCATATCTGGTATTTGACTTTTAATTCCGCTCTTCGTAGGGAAGATTCCTTCGTACGAATAACGTATACTACAAAATACATATCCAATCTAAATTGATGTAAACAGTTGCAATGCAATTAAATTAAAAAAGTGTATCATGATACCTGGGATGATTATCCTGTTTACTGGTGTACACTAATTCGCCATTCTTATTGTAAGTGACTTCGGCAAATTGTTTGGCAAAAGTCGATATGAATGGACCTAATATTTGAAAAGCTGATATTCGCACCCATTTCGAATCGTCGTTCAAGTATTTGGCCAGTATGTCAGCAAGTAACAATCGGCGATGCTCAGGCGTTGAACAGCAAGAGACCGGCATCATCACTTCAACACACGCTTTTCGCACATTCCACACTCTATCGCCGCACAGGTCGACAAATGTAGGAATCTAAGATCAATATGAATGTCATCAATAAATTAATAATACTATTAAACTCAGAGAATTAAAAAATTAAAACGTTAATTTTTTAACTTTCTACTTTTATAATTTAGAAATAAACTTTATATAGGGATAACGCATGATTCCACGTGAAAATCGTCGATCTCGATCGTGAAATCGACAGATTTCAGATTCGATCCTGACTATCATCCCATATATCTCTTATGTTATAAAAGGTTGATTGAAGAAAAGAAATAGTAGGAATAAAGAAATATATGACATGAGGTGAATTGTAACTTGTTATTGAATGATAAAGTTTTCCAATTTATAAAAAAAGACTCACCAATTTGCTGTACAGTTTCTTTTTTCCCACAGCAGTACACATTTCTCCAAAATGAGTAGCACAGATTCTTCTCACCATCATGTCGTTATCCTCGCATAGGTCTAAGTACCGTGTCAGAAAGACCTTTTCTGTAAGTTCGCTACCAATCAACGGTGCCAGTCTACACATGAGCTGCGAATCGATATAAAATATGGAACATTGAGAAAATGAATAAAGCTAGTGCCAGACTGTATGCAATTTGTACTACTAGTAACTCCAGATTTGCTATTTAAGATTTATGAATAATATAAATATTCGTCATGAGAATTGTTATACATTATTTACCATATCCATAATTCATTAATGGAGCGGTTTTATAACAAAATCAAAGGATGAAAATGCGCATAATCTGGCACTAACTTAAATGTTAAATTTAATTATAAATACCATTATTCATATATTCATGTTTCGAGTATTTCTAAGTTAGTAGTACATATAGTTCATTCGAACTAATATTAGATTAAACCGGAATATTCATATTTTGATAATTTCAAAGCATCTCTTAAAATTATTTCGATTAAAAGGCAAGTTTTAGTTCATATGTTTGACGCACTTATTAAGTGAAGCGTATAATTACATATGTATGTACAATAAATGTTAAGTAGCAATTTTTAAAGTACTAAGTAACATTTTTTAAAGTACTAAATAATATTTATAAATATTATAAGTAACAGGTGAGATATATCGTTCCGTTCCGCTCATCAAAGCTGGCTGTGATATGAATCAATAGCACCACATCACAACCACTCTGATGGGAGGAACAGAGGAACATTCGATGACAATGTTCTGTAAAAGACTGTATTAATTAATGAATTAACTTATAAGATGTACAATTTTACACTATATCACAAAATGACATATTTTGATGGTATAAAGAGAAATAGATATATATATTATCATAAATTGCATTATCACAATTAACAGATTAAATTGTACAAAAGTATTGTATTATTGTACATATTTATATTTACATAAAAAAAATCAACCATTAGAATAATAACCATTAGAATAATAATGCAAATCTGTTTCTCTTTCATTTTTTCAAAATAAGACACATCTTATAAAAAATCTTTTGTAAAGTATTTCATTATTTTACTAAGATATCATAATATCATTTTCTTCTTATAATTATGTAAAAATGTTCTTTTTAAATTTTGCTTTAAATTTAAAATTATTAATAATAACATACAATATTATATTGCGATAGTACTAATTATACAAAACATGTATCAATAAAAATTTCTTACTTTTATTGTAACATATAATACTATGTTACAATAAAAGTAAGAAATTTGTATTGACACATGTTAGCTTAGATTAAATAATAATATAGGTAATAAACTAGGCAATAGTATATTACTATTACACCTATACCTATACTATTACCTAAGCTATCTTAACCTGTGTCAGTAATTTAAAAATTTCGTACTTTTATTTGTATATACTCACTATTTACAACTGTCTTCAGTCAACTATTCCTAACATAGTTCGTACATGTTGAAGTAAAGAGAGAAATTCTCTTCTTCCTCAGAAAGAATTTCTTCTGCGTATTCCAAACTTGCTGAACTGTGAGTGTCGCAACGCTCATCAAAGCTGGCTGTGATATGAGCATCATTACATCAGCATATTACAGCCACTTTGTGAGCAACGCGAACGCTCTTCCTGACAATCTTTGCCATCCTTATCATCCATTCCCATGCAGATCAAGTGGAGAAGACGATGTATAAAACAGCGATCCAAATCGTCAAAAATGGCTGTGATATGAAATTCAGAAGAGCAACACGCCACAACCAATTTGACGATTGGATCGCGTTCCTTCTTCTGTGGCATTATTCCTCGGACGAAATTTCATATGATGTGCCATAAAAAGCACACGAATAATTTTTTGTGAGATTTAACACAAACATGGATATAACACTATGTCAATTTTTCTCAGTAGAGCTTTTTATTGTTATTCGTTTCACAAGCTTGCCTAAAATTCACACATGTCACATGTATATCATCGATTCAACAGGTATATTACGCTGATAGCAGAATATGAAATCTTCTCGACGATCAATTCTGCGGGCCAGCTCATCAAAATGGCTGTGATATGACTCGAAACATTCCACAACCAATTTGATGTATCGGACCGCAAAAGGTACATTCCCGTTCATGGTACTTCGATGGTGCTTCTCCGATATATCATCTTTCGCCTTTCCACTGCTTTCTTCGTGCCATATATGTTATTTTCGTGCGTTTTCTTTCTGTTTCGTCATTCACTTTTTACTGTTTTTATCTCCGTTCTTTTAATCACCGAAGCGCGTTGAAAATAGACACAATTTTGATCATCAAAGCTGGCTGTGATAGTCGAACTCTATGACAAACCAACTTTGATGGTAAAAGTATGTCCTGTCTTTCGTCAGGATGCCGGTGCCAGTGTTTTCCATGAGGAGAAAACGAATGCTTTGTCTTCATTATTTTTCTTTTTGTTCATGAAAATCTTCAACTGATGACGGCTAAGTATTTCCCTTGCTCTTTTAATCTTCTAAAGCGCGTTCACTCCGTTTTCCTTTTTCTTTTTCTCTCTGACTCTCATTTTCCTTATCTTCTTATATTTTTTGCCTCGATTCGACGACTTGTTTTTCCTGCTGGCGCGACAGATCGCATAATTTTCACCGCGATTTCACATTCTTTATGCCAACATCTCCGGGGCGAAACGGACGCCGCATGAAAGACAAGATAGTGAGACGCGATTGCGAAAGAACATCTCACTACCCATGTCTTTCAGGAGGAATCCGTGAATATGGAGGAAGATAGTCTCGATTTCACACGCAAAGAGATGTAATCACCACGTATGTATCACTAATCGCGCAAACATAAGATTCCAAAATCCTATTCACGTGTTAATGACGACATAAAATAAATTATATAAATGACAAAAAGATAGATCTCAAAAAACATAATTGTTTTTACTTACTTTATCACTTTATTACTCATTTACTTTACTTTAAGAACATTTACTTGCAAATATTAAAGATATCAGAAGAAAGTCTTTTCTATAAAAGAAGTGGAATAAGCATGTAAAACCCCCGTACCAATCGAGCTCAAATATATATATATATTCCGTTATGCCCTTTCTATTTTTGTCTACAAATTATTTATTTAGAAATGAAATAAAATAGAAAAAACTTTTCTTATACAATTTACATTAATTTCTTTTTGGATAATAGTGAAGTTTAACAAATCTTTATCGTCCTTAACACGTGATTTTTTTTTTTCTTTAAGATATAATTTTAACTGTTACGCAAAGAAACTATTTTTATATTCAGCTGCTACTTTCACTTTAGCAATAAGGGCGGAAGGCGAATAAAGTGCGGGAAACTTACAGAGATATTTGCGTTTCGGACATGTTCGTCGATCATCGTATAGGATAGACTTTCTATCGTCGGACAAATAATATTTTCAATCGCATCATTGTCAAGGAATCCTCGTTTCACCAACATTGTCAGCGCGCTTTGTGCCATTTGCCGTACCTGTGAAATAAAAACATCATAATATTTACATAGTTGCTAGAATATTTCGGTTGTTTTTGTCTCAGAAGAACATATTCAAAATACAAGACAAATATGTAATGATCACTTGCCTGATTATCCAAATCGCTCAGATACTTCATGATGATACCAAGCAGATGATTGCGAAGGACGTCTCCGAAAAGATGTGGCGCTTCGTGGCAGATAATTGCCACATTTGGGATTTGTTCCATCAGATCTGACCGTACCAAAGCATCTGCAATCAAAAGTATTACATTATTATTATCTTTGAAAACATAGAAAGCTTATTTTCAAATCGATCTCGTAAGAAATTTTGCAAAGCTCGAACTCCTAATTCCGTAATTCATAAGGATAATTTCATTACTAAGATGTGGATTCAAATTTTGTAAATTCCCTGAGAATTCCCGGATTTTCCAGGAATTTTAATAAAAAATTCCAAGAAATTTATAAAAATTTTTAAGGCAGTTTTAAAATAAATTTATTAAGTTTTAAAATAAATTTATTATTAAATGAACTTTTTAATATTCTTTAATCATATAAAGATTATAAAGAAAAAATTATTTGAGATTTGAATATTAAATTAAAAATATTAAAAAAAAAATAATATAAAGAACCATACAACAATTTGTTTACGATACATAGATTTATTTTATCAGAGATACAGATCTTAAAAAATGATTAAATATGTACAACGTATAATGACAAGGAATATTATAAATTGTATTAATTAAATAATATGTATTATGGAACTATATACTAAAAAGTTAATATTGATGATTTCTCTTTAGTACGAGTATGCTCTCTATATGTCCTTCGATATAAGACCGCGTTAATTTTTGACATTACTGGACATTACAGAAAATATAAGAAATAATTTTGTCAAAAAGAAATAAAATTTAAATTTGAAAATAAAATTTCAAAAATTTCCCTGAATACTAATGAAATTCGTTGAAAATCCATGATTTTCAAAGAGAAAAACTAAATCCCTTGAGAATTTCAAATTTTCCCGATTTTTCCCGGTATTTCCTGGTAGTATCCATCCATCCTGGTTAATATATTGAGACAGAAATACTATTTTGATACATCTTGTTTGCAGTTTTGTAACGTATGCCTATTAAGTCATAGATGTCGTCGAGACTCTCGACACAAAAAGTCTCGTCTCCTCTCGGGCTCGTCCGAAACATTCTTCTTTCTAAAAGGAAAAACAGAAGACGCTAAAAATCCGACACGGATTTCAAGTCTATCGAAGCAGAGACTAAGCAACGATAGAAAAATAATCATGTTAATGTAGAGTGTAGATTCACGCATTGAAACGATACGTGAATTGGGTGAGCGAATTGAAGCTTCGAAGATATTTTCGATAGATAAAATAAAAAAAAATCTATTTTCACAAGTAAAGCAAGTGAGATTTTTACAAATCTGGAAAAACCAGAAAACTTGAATTATATACTGTCCGAATAAAATTTACAACAAGACTCCTCTTTTCTTCGAGATATACTACCTAGACGTCATGTTGCCGTGGTGCGACACTTTCAGGTCCTCTTCGGTAATGGATCGTCAAGATCGCGCGGGCGTCTTATATAGACTATTCCTCTGCGAAAGGTTTTACGAACACATGCAAGATTTTTCGAAAAGGAGGGAAGAATGTAAGCGGAGTAGGGACAGTCGAACGGTTATAGGTCGGATAAAATTAATCGTGGAAGGGAGGAATAGTTACAAGCTAATAGGAAAGAGGAAACAAGAGGAAAGAAGAAGAAAATTGCAAGGGAAACATCGTGTAACCTTTCGTAGAAACAACTTGAAAATTCTCGCGCGTT